TCCTGGACATTATGAAACTCCTCTGATATGCTGCCAAATAGTTCCAAAGGATCAAAGCTTTCGTAGTTGGTTGAATTGTCGAACTCTTAGCACGAACTTTGTGTTTTCACAACCTGCAATTCTTCTTGTAATTTACTATAGTAATTTGTTGGTGTCATTCTTATTTCAATGATTTTTAGTGCTTATCCTAGCCTGCCTCGAATGAAAAATTTGCCAAATGGAAAGTAAAAGTATAGTTTAATTTAATGGCTAACTCATTGTATTTCCTGTGAATTTTTTATTGGATGTTGGTAATTGTTTAATAGATGTCAGTTGTTGCCAAATTTGGCCCTTGAGACTGATGTGGTTGATAATAAAATTTAAGAACAAAAAAGGTTTATACTATCGATTGTGATTTTGTGTCTAATGACATTATGCTGTCTGGAACCAGGACTATTTTGATATTATAGATACACCAATGGATTTTGGAACTATATGCAGCAGTCTTGAAAGGAATGACAAGTATATGGACTCAGAGGATGTGTTTAAAGACGTTCAATACATTTGGAGCAATTGTTATAAGTACAACAATAAAGGTGACTATATCTTGGATCTTATGAGGCGTGTGAAGAAGAATTTTATGAAGTACTGGACTGCAGCTGGATTATACAGTGAACATGCAAAAACAACTAAAGGTGTGATGATTTCTATAGATGCTCTTTTTTCTAGTTCAAAATGTTAGCCCCTTTTTCTTTTACTTCGGCTTCCCTTGTTTGTTTTGGCTAAAAGCTAGACAATTGCATATGGAGACAGGATATTTGTGTTTTTGCATGGAATGCAGAAAACCAAGTAATACTGTTTTTTATTATTTTTTTTCTGTGCATTTGGTGGGATATGAAGTAATTTTCCTGTTCAATATCTTGGGCTTTTGTAGGTCAAAACGTTTTTCTTTTCTGTTGCATAACTTTTTGATCCTTTGGAGGATTTTTATTTTTGTAAGATACTGCACCATGGTACTCCGATAGCTATTTGAGCTTGCCTTTTTTTAAAAATTTTGTGTGGACTGGAACTTCAGCAGAGGATGGAGGACAGTCTGGTGAAGGAAAAGTAGCGAAGGGTGGTCAATCAAAGCAGAAGACAAAAAAGCGTCATGGGTGTGTATTCCTGAACTACTTTCTTCCCTGCTGACTATATTTTACCAATGTAATAATTATGCTAATAGTGGATGTAATTGTGACTTTAAATTGCTTGCCATGATCAAACCCCTTGTTGAGGATTTTGTCTTTTTTAAATAAATAAACAAAACTAACAACTTTACAAAGATATCCAACACTAAAAGTTATCCGGTGGGATTTAATAGTTCCTCATGAGCTCTGGAGATGGTTAGTGGTTTTTATTCAGCAAAATAGAGTGGCTACTAACACGTGTCAAATAGGTACTGGCACTCCATTTTATCTCATGTTGTCTTGTTTTTGCAGGCCTCTAGATCTTTTCTTTCCAGGCTTTTTTGTCAAGCATGGATATGAACTTTATTCTACTCTACTTTATCCTATAATCTCACATGGATATTTAAAAAGATCCGCTATAAATTTTAAGTAAATTAATTCCTAGCATGAGCTCGGGCAATTGAAATTCCTTCAATATGCCCTATCTTACATTTTTACTCCCATTCTTGTGTAAGGTTGGGCAATTCTATAATAGATGTTTTTTTCCATGAATGATGAGGTTTTAACTTAGGTTACCTTGCAGTTATATTACATTCAAATTTTTTTCTTCTCCTGGAATGTAATGATGCTGACAGATTTTAATAGTTACTGCTTCGTTTCATCAAAATTATCTACTTGCAGAAGACGCCATAAACACGATTGCTTATGTGCTATTTGTGTCCTAAAGCGCCGTAGAAGGGAAAGGGAAGAGAATGCCCGAATGGCCAAGGGTAATATTGGATCTGTTGATGATAGACATGCTAGAGAGATTAAACAAGAGGTATGGTATAAATAAATTTTACACTGCATTTTATTTATTTAGAGATGTGTCTGGAAATTTGGAAGTAATTTAGGATGCATGATAGCTTATTAAGTTTATATCATTAACTACAAATACAGGATTGGATGCAACGCCTTCAACTTTCCTAATTCATAGTGAGCCCATATACATATATGATGTGCATCTTAAGGGAATTCAAACTCAAATAATTGCACATCAGCCCAATAATGATTAAAAAAAAAAAAGAATTTAGCACTTAGTGTAGATGTTCATCTGGACAATACAAGAATATGACTGGCTTGCTTTTTATGTCGACATACGTGAATTGTAATGTTGTCTTGTTTTTAAAGGAATCCATGCAGGTAGAGAGCCCTGGAAGTGAGGATTCATCCTCAAATATGGATGAATCACAGGGCACTGATCAGGATGCTGAGGAGGAAAAAGGAGAGGAGGTGAAAACGGAGGTTGGTGAGAAGCAGTCTAGTCCTTCTGAGGGGAAGCACAATGACATGGACGTGGATGATGAAGATGACGAAGATGAAGATGATGACAATGATCAGAAGAAGGGGAGGCGGAGGAGGATGGAGAAGAGGAAGACTTGGAAGAAACTGAGGGAGACATTCAGAAGAAAGACAAGGGCGAAAATCTTAAGCAGTCACATCTTGGAGATGAAACTGCTGTTAAAGGCGAACAAGAAGGACAAGCTTTGGCCATCCAGCAACAGAAGCACAAGGTATTTCTAAATACTCATTATGTTATAGTTGGCATGGCTTCTACGTTTGTCATCTAACATCTCCAAAAGGGCTTAGGTACTGATAGAGCACATTGATGTTGTGCAATCCATGTGGTTGACCTTATCTAGTGAGATAAGACTTGTTGTATTGAACTGGATAGGATTCAAATGAAGCTCTCTAGATGTGTGCTGTCAAATTTTGAAATGAAATTATAATATGGGGACAAATTTTACAATTCAATAGCTCTCACATTTCATGATAACACCTAAAAGTTGTATGTAGATATCTATCTTGTCACTGATACAATTATTCTGTTACATGTAGTTGCAACTTGCAAGTTATACATGCTGTTTACTCTGTTTGTAGGAATCACGAAGTAAACAGGAGAGAGCCAAGTTGCTCGAGAAATTTTGTTTTGAAAACCCTCAGCTTCCCAGCTTATGTGCGACTCTGTTTCCTAAAAGCAGTGTATCTGTATGGAGTGGTCCAAACTCGCTGAATCATCAGCATAAAACTTCTGCTACTCGTCCTAATTCTATTTCTGCTGCTGTTCAGACTTTGATGAAGTAGGTTTTGCTTTTGACTTGTTTCGCCACTGTCAAAAAAACCTGAATTTTATGTTACTTGAGTTGTTTTGACTGACTTTTACTTTGCTCAATGTATGATAGTCATTAACATTTAGGGTTTATAAGAGTAAAACAGAGAATTCGAATAATACTTTATCCCCCCCCCCCCCCCCGCGTTTTTCTAACTAGCTTTTACTTTGCTCAATGTACTAATTGGAGTACAAGCCCACAGACAAAACAGCGCAAAGGACAACAAAATTAAACAAGGTTGGAATGCGAAAAACTCTGCCCTCTTGGTGGTTTATGAAGGACCATAATATCTAAGTTCTCAGCATACCATTGGTGAGCAAGTCAGTTTGCACATTTATTTGTTTATTTTAAAATATGATTAAAAGTAACAATCCAATCCTGCATTCTGAGATTCTTGATCTTCTTGGTAGAACTAAAAGAGAGGGTGGTTCTGAGAAAATTCATTCTAGATGAACAGAGTCTCAATTGAGTCAGAACAGACATTAATTTTGAAGTATTTTCTGCTCCAGCAAAGATTAGACCTTCAAAGATATCATCAGAGAGTATGCCATGAAGTCAGGATACCCAAATATTATTGTACATAACTCGCATTCAATTTTAGATGCCTGTTAGTTAATGGACATGTAATAAAACAAAATACAGTACAATCAAAACAAGGTTGGTTGAGTGATAGGGGATTTAAAGTCTTGATTTTTTTTTGACCCGAATTTAAAGCCTTGATCTTGAGTCGATGAAAAAGTTTTGTCAGGAGCTTTATCTCAATTGAGTTTGGCTTGATTTAAACTTGGATCAATTGATAGTATCAAATACTAGGTAATTTGTTAAAAAAATAAATTAAAAAGAGATATCACAAGACTAAAACTAGGCAAGGTAGCTTACTAGCTAGAACCGAAGTGCAAAATTTGAATGTGTCTATATGGATCCGTTGATGGATACACCAGCACAGGTCAAAACAGAGTTTCAAAAGCAGCATCGAAAGGCAGTACCACGACGTCGTTTGAGGCGTTATTCCCAATTCTTTTCCTATCTCTCTCTCAACTAAAGCCTAAAAGGCATATTCTATTCACGCACGCGCACATATATAAGCATTTGCTTTCTTAAAGCATGCTCTGAGAATTAAGCACATTCCTTTCTATTATATGCGCACAGCTTTTGTGCAGGTAATTAAATTTTTCATTTTTTCTTTTAAATTCTTTTTTCTAGTGATTTTGAGAACATTAAACTCTCTCTCTGTCTCTCTTTCTCTACAGTATATATATGCATGTATGTATTCATGCATCATGCATGTACAGAGTCATGATTTATATTTATTTTTGAAGAAAAAAATCCCCATGCACTTAGGCGATGTGTTGATTTATAAACGAATAAGCTTAGCAATTTTACATCGTGAAGTGAGTTATCGATTTGATTTTTTTGAGTTCAGACTCTTGACACTTTTCACATAAAAAATGAACGTGTTACTTTTGTTCATAATAATATGATTTAATTTTCTTTTTAAGTTTGATTAAATAATAAATTAAGGAAAATGAACGTAAATTTTTGGATTTACTTGTCGATAAATACCTTTTTTTATTTTTTTTATTTTGGAGTTTGGCAAGCAGGAACCTAAACTGACAAAGATCGATTGTGAGAGAAAATATGTCTCAAACCATAAACTTATTCGACAAGAACCTTCTCTCAAGGCCTCACAGCAACATTGGATCAACAAACAACAATCATGAATCAAAATTTATCAATCCCACTTTGATTGATATGCCACCTTTGCCTGAGACCAAGCTTCTTCCTCAAATTAGGTGTGTGTCCACGCGCACGTGTCAATTAACTAACAATGAATTTAATTAGTTGATCGATAAATGGATATTGAAGAATTAATTGTAAAATTGTGTAGGAGTGAAGGAGAATTAATGTTATCATTGACAACAGAAGAAGTCAGACCATGCTTATCGGAGCAGCTTACAATATTTTACGATGGTGCTATTCGTGTCTATGATCATGTTCCTCTTGATAAGTTTTAATTCTTTCAGCCTTTAATTAGGCAACATTCCTTAATTTATACTGCAATTTAGTACTTAATTGATTATTGGTATTAATAATTAATTACTTATTAATTGGTCAGGCTCAAGCTATTTTGCTTCTGGCTGGTGAAAGCTCATCATCAAATACTACAACTCCAAAAGTGGGTATACAATCACCAACCCTTCAATCCAGTTATGTAATTTAGAATTGTTATTACAAACATGAAAGTTTCTAATTAACGTATAGTGTTTACGAATTTACTCATTAATCTTGTTAATTGTGTGAGAGAGGAACAAATTAAATACTAATAATTGTGATAAGAAAATTAACAATAGGAAGTTTAATTAATTAATTTTGTACTGCAAGAAGGCATTCCCTCCAATCTTTCCTTGAAAAGCGACGTCGTAATAGGTATCTTAATTTATTTCTCTATTCTATTATAAATTAATATAGCTAGACTGAACATAAAATTGTGATATATTGCACAAAGATAGTGAAGAAGAAATCATCACCCTATGCTTGTGGTATTGTTCATAGTTCAAGCAACAATGGGAATATTGGGGAAGAAGAAGAAGATCAAGATGGTGCATGCAAGAATGAAGAAGTTTCTCTTAAAGAGTGTGCTTGTAGAAGTGCAAGGGCGGGTCTATGAACTAGAGGGGCTAAATTGAAAATAAAACATGAAGGGGGGGTGTGTTGGGGAAATCTATATTAAAATTGTTTATAAGTAAAAATTTCAAATAGCTCAATTTTTCATTGACCTCTTCAAATTACGTATTTACCATCTTGCCACATGTTACATGTACTTAAAGAGCACAAGAGAAATATAAGGATGAGAGAATCTTCTTGTATTTTGTGTGTCACGGAGTATATGAGAAAAAGGAGCTATTTTCCATGTTTTTAAGTGTTGTTGAAGGAATTTAATTACAATGGTTTTTTTACCAGAAATTTAATTACAATGATTCGATTGCATGGCCTAGGGCCATGTAATGTTTTGTTTGTTTTCCCTCTTTTTTTTTTGAATTTGTCAAAATCGTATCATTAACACTTTGGGGCAGGTTGAAATTTAATTACAAGCATGTAGAAGATTAATGTTTTGCTAACTTTTAAATGTATAGGGATTTAACTAAATGGTATAAACTATTGGGGCAGGTTGAAAATTTTTAAACTACAAGAGGATCAATATAAAATTTATAGATTTCCCACTTTCAATAATTATATAATATATTATTTACCTCGAATTAAGGAAAATTCATGTGAAAGTGATGTCAGTGAAATAGAAAATAGGGACTATATATATGTGTGAGATTCTTAAAGAGAATAAATAACATTCAACGTGTGAAAAAAACGCATCAAAAAACAAAAAAAATCATGTGATAAAGATATAGAAATATAAGTGGTATGATCACATGTATAAAATCATCAAAAACATAATTATGTGAGACAGATAGAAGAATCGTAAGAAATTGAGTTTGAACTTTTAATATATACTCTCTTCATTAAAAAATATTTTTTTGAAACATTAAATGTTTAAAAATTTAAGTCATTTTTAATCTTTTAAACTATAATCATTGCCTTTTTTTAAAGTACCTCTATTGAATAAATCTCTTTATATTTATTTTACGATAAAATATTCTATTAAATAGGGATAAATATAAAAAGATAGGATTAATTTGAAGACAAGTAAATACTTTTATTAGAGGGTAAAATTTAATTAAAAATATTTTATATTTTTGAATGAAGAAAGTATGCTTTTCTCATCAAAATAAATAAAAACTCAATTTCCACATGAAACTAAAAATAACATAACTAACCAACCATGATGATTAAGGAAGCCACCAAATATTCTCCAAAATTCGAAGTACACAAAATAGAAATTCCAACATATACATGCATTGAAACTTTAATTAATAATAGTATAATACTCAAAAGGCAATGCTTCTCTACACTATTTAACCTTGAGCTTCCTCACAAGGGCAGAACATAGATCTGAAATCTAGCAAGTATTTCTCCTCACACACACACACATGTGAATTCAAATATTAGTTAGAAATATGCTAAAAAGTAACATATAATGCGCATATGTTTATATATAAAGATGGAATTTCAAAGTACATGCATTACCTGAACCTCAAACTTTGATTGAGAAACAGCAAGATAAGGAGTCCACTGCTTGCACTTAAGGTTGTAGGGTGATCCAATGTTCTTCCACAACACATTTAATTGTTTCATGGCATTCATAATCTCAGTCATTATTTCACAAGGATCACCAATGCACTTTGATAAGTTTAAAAGATGCAGCAACAAAAATTAAAACAATGAATTCATCAAAATTTCAAATCTTTTATATATAGGTAGAAAAAACCATGCTGAAAAAGTTTCTTTTCTTCATGTACCTGATGAAGAGTGTTTGAATCCAGAATCCTAATTAAGCAGTGAAATATTCAAGTTTCAAAGCAAATGAGCTTTGGACATAAAAGAGATCATCAGCAAGGAATTTGAATCCCTCTATTGCTAACCTTTTATTTTCATCTCTCTTTACATATGGAGAGGAACTTTGCTTGAGATAGAAGTGGGATCCACTTCTTGGTAATGGGTCCTCAAATGGGTCCCATTATATATTTGTTTCTACCTGTCTTTCTCATCTATGAAATTGAAAGGATGCGGAAATCCATTAAATTGAACAAAATGGAAAATAATGAAGAAAGCGAAGCTCATTTTGTTCAAGGTTGTAGGGAGAATCAATTAGCTGATTCGTGTTAGCTAGCTGATTAAACGCGCTTTGGAAAAGTCAGGTTTTTAAACGTGCTTTTGAGGAGGCCATCCAAACATGTCCTCTATTTAACCAGTTTTTCTAATCTTAGTCCAGTGACATCAAAATCTCTCACTTCATAATTAATGAGTCAATAGTTTCAACATATTTAGTTTGTTTGGACAGATTCTTACTATTTTAGACTTACCTGAGCCCAGCTGGGATGGGAGGAAATGAATAAATAATCAAACTAATATATGGCTCCTTTTGATTAAACAAAGGAAATTAACATTTCACATTACAAATTGCATTGCAGAATGTATATGATGTTGCATTAAGAATTTCATTACACAGAACAAAACGCTACGAACTGATAAATCTTGATATTTTGTTGATGAATCTGCACGAAGTCTTAGCTTCAGATTTCGCATTACCATTCAATATTAATTGCTTTCTGGTGGCAACAAAGTCACTGCAAGCATCCAGTCATGCAGAAAGCTTAGGGAACTTGAACACAGATTAAGTCAACCTCATCTCTTTAAACTCAGACGTCAGATATGCCCACCGGATTCTTGAAACTGATTGTCCACTAACAAATAGTACACAACAGTTGCCTGATGATAAAACAAAATGATTAGAAATTAAAGAGATAGATGCTCTGAGATTATATATCATTAGGTGCAGGATATTTTAGATGAAGAGACATAGAAATAGGATCCACCAAATTAACCTTTTGTCTTTATCTTTTTCCACATGGAGAGAAACTTTACTCGAGATAGAGGTGGGAATCACTTGTTATCGTATGAACCCCACTCTATTCGATTTCTATCTTTCTTCTCACTCAAGAAATTGAAAGGATATGCAAGTCCAACACATTCAACAAAGGAAGATAAAGAAGAAAGCGAACCTCATTTTGTTCGAGCCTGCTGAGAGAATCAACTAGTTGATTCCTATCAAACCCCATGCTAACTACTTGAAGAATTTCATCATCAATCTGTTTTTTTTTTTAAAACATAATATTTTTTTGTTTCAATATATGTGGATTATTTTCTATGGTTGGGAGAGAAAACAATGGAAAAAGAAGAAGAAGAAACCTTGCTGGCTAATTCCACCATATCTGGCGGCGGAGCAGCTAAACACGTTGGAAGATGAGCCTGAAACCAAGGGTGGCGGCGGATATCAGAAATGGTGATCCTCTTAATGGGATCAACCTCCAGCATCCTTACTATCAAATCTCTTGCTCCACTTGATATCCCCTTTGGAAGAGTATATATCCCACCCTACATTTTCATACATGCATGCATTATCAAAACCCAAGCAGTATAATGTTGAATGAAAAGATAGGTACACATAACAAGTAAGTTTCACTTGATCTTTTGCAGATTAATCAACACTAGTGAAATCATAAATCTGATGGATTTAGATAATGGAGATGAGTTCTCAACTCAAATACCTTTATGTTAACATAAAGCATTGCAAGGTTTGGCTCATAAAAAGGAAGACGCCCACATAGAAGACCATATAGAATTACTCCACAGCTCCACACATCTACTTCTGGTCCTGCATACTGATTTCCAGCTATAATCTGCGGATTGATCAATAAATGTAATTAATTCCAGTACTAATTATTATTATTATTATATATATATATATCCGAATTAATTGCAAACTGACCTCTGGAGCAACATAGTTTGGGCTACCGCAACATGTTTGAAGGAACTGACCTTCACGCATGACATTGCTCAATCCAAAATCAATAATCTTGAGATAGCCTATGGAGCTCAGAAGCAGATTCTCGGGCTTTAGGTCTCTGTGAACCACCATGTTCTTGTGACAGTATTCAATTCCAGATATTATCTGCTTCCAAAAAAACAATACAATAAGCTCACTTATACATAATCTTTAATGAGTGTCTGTGATAAGGATCATTGATTTAGATTCCTTTCATTAATTGGTCATATATAGCATATTGAAGTTATTAGTAGAGTTCAGATTCTCCTTTGACCTTTCTAGTAAGGTACTAAAAATGCCTTGTAGACAACTAGTCTTGAAATATTGAACCTGTGAGAAAGTACAAAAAATGCTAATTCTTCATGTTATTTAGTTTTATATCTGGAGATGACTACTTGGGAGAAATTAAAGATAAAAAGAGAATTCCAATTCTAGAATCTGAATCCAAGTTTATCAAAGACCAATTCATCCCGGATCAATGCTTAATCTATTATTATGAGATCCAAGACCTTTAATTATTGGATCCATTCATTAATATCTTTAATTAACAACAATGAGAATTAAATAGTAGTGAATTGAATTAAACCTGCTGGAAATACTGACGGGCTTCGTCTTCTTCCAGGCTTCCTTTATTTGATATGTATTCAAAAAGCTCGCCAAATTTAAGGTACTCCATGACAATATATATCTCTGATTCTGTTTCTATAACCTCATAGACTCTCACAATATGAGGGTGTACCAACATTTTTGCAACTCTGATCTCCCTTTCAACTGCAACACAATAGAGGAATCATCAATTATATGTATTTCTCTGACAGTGGTCAGATGAATTAAGTACGTATTGAAGGTAACTGATATTTAGTATTTAGCTAGAGACGAACCTTTTTCTTCCATGTTCATGATCTCGATCTTACTTCGTTTCAGAACCTTAATGGCAACTTCATGGCCTGTCAATATATGCTCTGCAATCTTCACCTTGCTGAATGATCCTTTCCCAATTGTTTTTCCCAACCTGTAATTCTCTAACACCTTCTTGTTCTTCAAAATGCTTCCACCAGCTTGCTGGCCTCTTGATTCTTCCATTTTGAAACCTATATAGAGGTATATATGCACATGGTTATAAACAAGAACAGTATCAAATTCTGACATGTTGAGACCCCAGGAGAACCTGACTCTTGAAATTGAAACCCCAATCACAGAAATTCGAAAATGATGATGAGGCAGGACTTTGAGACTAGCCACGAAGACACCACAAAAGATGATCAGCACCTTGGTTTTGTCTATATTCTCACAAGAATTCGAATACGAGATTCACGGTTAACAACAAAGTACTCTTCTCATAAGTCCTCGAGAGTTTTGAGGTTATTGGTTTCACCTCTTAACGAGTTGTTGATTTGTCGTAATGCCATTGATGGCTTGATATCATCTTGTGAAGAATTCATATTTTGTTTCGTTTTAGATCGGTTTAGGAGACATATCTCTATTGTGTGTGTGTTTGAGAACGAAGAAGAATTAAGTGAACTTCTTCGCCATAACACTCAAATTTCGGGCACACACACAGCGTTTCATAATGCCTTCAAATTATCCTCTGAAAGAAAAATGGAGGCTCAAGTCTCATGCATAGAAAAGCAAGCTCTCCAGAAAGCTGATGACAACTGATGATTCAGGGTTCTTTCGAGATGACTGATTAAAAGAAACTGCATCATGACATTGAAATCTTAATCTGTGCCAACCTTGAGCGAAGCGGTAGCGAGGTAGATGAAGATGGTTGTCGGAGCTGCCAACGGAGATACGGTGGAATGCTGCTGCACGGCACGGCAGTTCGTCGTCGTCGTCACTGGGATTGTGGGTTTTACTAACTTGGACAAACTGGCATTTACAACGTTAGTATTGGGAAGCGAATTTGATGAAACTGAAGAACAAACCAGAGTACAGTGCATGCTGCTGGTGTTTACTGAGCCATGTTCTTATAGCAGTGAACAAAGCGTTATACTCAGAAGTGCCCGAAAATTACACTTAAGTACCCATAACTCATCACATTTTGTAAACTGTGTCCCTTCTGTTATTGACGTGAGAGCGTGTGATCATGCGTGAGATCTACCCCTATATTAACTTATAATGATTAATTCACCAATATTAATTAAAATTGTTATTATCAAAAAAATATGTACCATGTTATAATTAATATCATGCATTAAAAGGAGTCATGAGTGATGACATTAAGTAATATATGCCATGATTAGTTTTTGCGTCATGAGACTTGTGTATTTAGTTCGCAAAAAAAAAAAAAAAAAGACTTGTGCATTTAAATTTTTATAGAAGTAATTATATCTTATTATGCTATTTTAGAATTTATCTTGTCATACAATCATATTTATATGACAGAAATTCTAAATTGAAATTATTCATTTATTATATATTCATTATCATCCGTAAGCCGTGTAATATTTATTTATCGTTGACTTTACTTTGATTTAAAAAAAAAACGTAAGTTTTTACTACGACATCTAGCGATCTATATTTATATGTTCCTATACATATATATTGATATATTAATTACAAGATGTGTATATAGACAAATTTCATGTTCAAATTATTTATTTACTTTTTGTTCATCTTAAATCAACTAATTTTCCATCGATATATACATAATATGATTTATATGTTAAGATATTTAGCATTAAATTTAATTTGATCGAGTAATTTAGAAAAACTTTTTTGAAGAAAATAGTCAATCAAGTGCAATTCAAAATGAACCAAACAAAATCTTAAATGTGTTCTGAAAATGAAAAATATCTTTAAAGTGAGAAAAAACATTTCTTGTAACTCTCTCTTTATCCCTCTCACCTAAGTGCGTTAGATAGAATGAGAGTGGGACACTCCTATCTTGTGTCTTGTCTTGAAAAATGATTGAAATTAAATTTTTATTTTGTGTCTTATCTTGTTCTGTTAGGAATCATGATCAGATCAAGACGAGATCATATATCCCACAATCACAATAAAGTAGATAATGTGTAAGAAAGGCTAGGCTAATAATGTTTATTAAAATTTTAAATCATATAACTTATTAAGGTTAAAACTAAAACAACATAAGTATATAAATTATAATAATTTGAAGTCAATTATTGAATTACATCAATCATAGTTACAAGTGTACAACTTAAAATTAGGTATATATAAGACATAACATATTATGATAGCAATTACAAGTAATCTCTAGGTTATGAGAGTAATGACAATAGAGAAGTTAAACACAATATTAAATTATTGCTTTTCTTCTTTAGTTGATATATGTTAACCTAGTCTCAAAATAAAACAAAAAATATAATATAAAAATTTATTAAATAGATAAATATAAAAATAAATTATATTAATATAATTAATATATTGAAAAAAATGATATTATCCTATAAATCTTACTCTGTTATTAAAATTATCAATATAAAAAACTTCTAGTTTTACGTAAAAATTACCTGTATTGAACTTATAATTAATATAAATATAAATTATATTAATACAATAATATATTTAATATATATTTTTAAAATAAAAATAATAATATATATAATATTTAAGATGAGATGGAATGTTTTAAAAGTAATCTTATATCACGTTTTGTCCCACAAAATCCTATACCAATTATTTTTGAGTTGAAACAAAACCTGTTCTAATAAGATTGAAAATACAAGTTAAACACCCTTACTCACACGACACGCTTTCTCCCTTTGTTTACAAGGTAAAATCGCGTGGGAGAGATAAAAAATGCATGAAAAGTGGGCCCTACATGAATGAGATTGTAGACCAAAATAAGTAAAATCTAAAATATGAAACCTGTCAGAAAAAATCACGCGATAAGGAAACATAGAAACATATATTGTGGGACAGCATGATTTAAAAAGAGATAGAATTCACACGAATTAGTTACGTTGGGCCCCACCCCATGTTTCTTTTTCCCCTTTCACTGCAGAATATATATATATATATATATATATAAATACTTCCTCTAGTTTCATTGAGCAGCACTTTCTAAAAATATTTTTTATTCTTAATATAAAGCACATTATGGTATAGTTATTATATTTTTTTAATTTTAATATTATTTAAATTTATTAACTATAAAAGAGAATGTAATATAAATTTTAAAAAAATTATTTAAATAGGAATTTGATTAAAAGTTTATTTTATTTTTAAACAAAGTTAATAACTTAATTATATCTCTTTGATGTTGATGAAGTAATTGAGAGTACCTTATATTAGGGATCAGAGGGAGTAGTTTGCTTCTTTTCTTTAATTTGTTTGGACAAAATTTTTGTTCAAGATTTTTCTCAAATGAGAGATTGAAAATGAGTGTTTCGTTTAATTTGATTCAATACTAGTTATTATTATTTCTGAAGTATAGATAGGCTTTGCTTTTCATTATATTTTACTTCTGAAATTAATAAAAATGAACTTAATACATAAAAGAATAATAAATAACTATATATCTAAGTTTTAACAACATACTATACTAGTAGCCTAGCACACTAAGGAATACCTTGTTTTAGTGGTTTTTTATTATGGAAAAGAAATATCCAATGTTATGATACCATATCACTCATAGTAGCTGTATGTACACACACACACACAACAAGTTTTATGAATGCAAAATGTGATAATTAAGGTTTTACTCGTATTTAATTTGGTAATGCCAATTTTTAATAATTTCATTCCATTAAAGAGTAACTTTTGTATATATTATCTTTAACTTAACAGAATATAAATTGAGAAAAACTTACATACTTACTGATACATCCTTTATGTGTAAATAATCTCTTTCCTTTATTGTTGCCAAAAAAAAAAAAAAGATAGGAGATCGAGGTAGTATATTAATTATATTCAGTCATTTTAACCAATATATCTCTGTGTATATTTAGATTTATACTTTGTGAAAAATACATATGCTAAACTGAAGCTACGATTGGCATGATTTATATTTGAATATTTTTAGTAGAAATTAGTTGGGCAAGTTGCGAAAAGATGATGGGATGATATAAATAAAAAATACTTTTAAACATGTAATTAATTAAAATGGCATGCATCTGATGATATATAATATTTGATGTGTAAAATCCTAAAATTTTAAATAAAAATATATAAATACTTGTGTGGATATATGTGTATGCATATATAACCTCTTAAACGATGACACTTAAATTTCTTGAGAAATTAATCTGATGAATGCCGAATATCATGAAAAATAAAATAAAAAAGATTTGAATACATATTTGCGTATCCATATATAAAAAAAATGGATCAAAATTCTTTAAAATTGGCTGTCTAAAGTTTCGTGAATTTAAAATAATATTAATCAATAAATAAATCAAGCTGCATAAAATTGTCGTGTAATAAAAAATTAGAAAGTTTATAATTTTATGGCTTACCATGTTACGTTGAAATCACTCCATGACTCAAACAGAGCACCGTTCCTTAATATTTATCCAAAAATTAATAATTTGGGAACAATCACAAATTAACTACCATGTAACTAATGCCCCAATGTACTTTTTTGAAACTCAAGAACAGCTGTCAGCCAAGTTTGAAAAATAATTGGCATCCTATTAATTTTTGTTGGTATAATCAAACAATGGTTTAGTAAATTAATTAAAAGTCAGGTTTTTAAATTAACGTGCTTTCGAGAACGAAATTACATGTGTAATCCGCCCAAACATATTGTTTTCTTCAAAACAATAAATACAATAAATATCAAGTATGTTAGAGATGTTGAGTCTCAAAGATAATAATAAAATTTTCAAGTTTCTTATCTCAATTCATCTGAATGTGAAAATATAAAAGAATTAGAATAAAAGGTGTTTTGAATTAATGGGAAAGTAAAATATAAAGTTGCATTGTTTACAACTTGAAAATAAAAATAATTCTACCTAAATTGTGAATACAAGGTAAATAACTTGGAAATTTAAAAAAAAAAGGTCATGATGAATACTGATAATGACGTTGATACTGATGATCCCCTCAATGGTTCGTTTGAATTCTTTTTATAAGCACTTGCGTGAGACCATTATGCTTGAAAGATCTAGAGCCCATGTGTAAAGCATTCGTGATCACTTAGCATGGTTTTGTGAGATTCATGACACCTCAACTAATGCTCTTGTGTCCACTCGACAGTCTTCTCTACTCAATCATTTTAAGTCTTCAAGGTCATGTTAGCTAAGTACGTGCGTGGCACACTTTCTTTTGATAATGGACTGAACCTTTTTTTTTATTTGGGCTTGTCGTTTCACTCTTCTTCCCCCTATTACCCTTTCGTTGGCACTTCATTTTAGACCCAAACACATATATTATATTTAACCATTTTTTTTAAATCTTATTATGAGTCTGCGGCAGCGGGTTTGTATTTAATTCATATATCTCCCCTTCACACCAAAACCTCTCACTTCATATTTAAAAAAAGAAAAGGAAATTAACATTTCACATTGCAAATTGCATTGCAAAAATATAACGTTGCGTATGAATTTCATTGCACAGAACAATGAAAACAGTATAATTAATTGAGATGTTCAGATTTTGCAATATGGAAAAAGAAGACTAAAGGTTACTTTATGGTGGCAAGGTCACCTCAAGCATATCTTCAAACTCATACCTCAGATAGCCACCACAAGTTTGGAGTTGATTATCCACCATCAAATGATATACTACAGTAGTTGCCTGATGACAAAACAATATATGATCATTCAAACAGCAATTTCAATTCCTTTTCTAATTTGCAAGGTTGGAGAAGAGATCAATATTCTAACATTATATATATATATATATATATATCTCTCTCCATCTTTTGGTTAGATGGACAGAAATAAAATTAAAAATTCGGCAGGCTCCACTTAACAAATAAGACCCACCACACCTTTTATCTTTACCTTTTCATGTACGTGGAGATAAACTTTATTCAAAATAGAAGTGGGACCCACTTATTTGTTTGGATCTTATGTGAGCTCCAGTTTATTTTGATTCCGATCTTTCTTCTTGATTACTTAAGAGATATAATTGAAATAATATAATGCAAATCTAAACATTGAACAAAGGGAAATAATGAAGAAAGCGAAGAACCTCATTTTGTTTAAGCTTGTTGAGAGAATCGACTACCTGATTCTTGTCAAATCCCAAGCTAACTACTTGCTCAAGAATTTCATCATCAATCTTTTTCCAAAAAGAAAAAAGAAAAAGAAAAAGTTTAATTTCTTGAAGAATAGTTATGGATATGATTTTCTATGGGGTGGAAGAATTTAAAACAACAATGATGGAGGAGGAGGGTGAACCTTGTTGGCTAGTTCTGCCGTATCCGGCGGCGCCACCGCCAAGTAGCTTGGAAGATGAGGCAGAAACCAAGGGTGGCGGCGGATATCAGAAATGGTGATCCTCTTAATGGGATCAACTTCCAGCATTCTTGCTACCAAATCTCTTGCCCTACCTGATATCTCCTTCCGAAGAGTATTAGTATTTGTTCTATCTCATATATATATATATATATATATATAAGATAGAACAAATAATAAGAAGCAAATTTCATGAGAATGGAGAGAATATATCAAAAATCCAGAACTTGAATCCGAGTAACAAAGGCCAATTCATAATGCTTAAGCTATTAATTAATTATTTAAAATTTTGCCCCTGACTTGATTTTTCTCATTAAAAAAAAAAAAAAAGAAGGAAGGCGCACGTATACATGTCAACATCAAATTCAAACGCGATATCTCTTCGTAAAAATAGAGGTGGCGCTATCACTTGAGCAACTTGAAACTGATGACATGTTTTGATGAAGACTGAAGAACTACTTTGATTGGAGCCATTAATATTAGCTAGTTTCTGTAACATTGATGAGAGCATTTATATATTTGTGTGAGAGTGTGTGTGTGTGTGTGTGTGTGTGTGTGTGTATAATGGGGAGAGATATTAAATAGAAGTGAATTGAACCGTGCTGGAAATGGTGACGGGCTTCGTCTTCGTTGAGGCATCCTTGAGAGAGATGTAATGGAAGAGCTCTCCAGATTTGAGATACTCCATCACCATATTTATCTTTTTTGGTGTTTCTATCACCTCGTACACTCAACCTATGTGAGGATGCACCAACTTTCTCGCTATCCTGATCTCTCTTTCCACTGCAACACAATACAAAAGTCATCAATTATTAATTTCTCTGATGATGACACAGTAATTAATTAGATGAAGAAGCTTGTACATTTTGAAGATTAGAGACAAATAACCTTTTTCTTCACCATTTTCGTACTCTTAATCTTGCTTCGTTTCAGAACCTTAATGGCGACTTTATGGGCTGACAATACATGCTCTGCCATCTTCACCTTGCTGAACGATCCTTGCCCAATCTTTTTCCCCAACATATAATTCTCTAAATAATTCTTGTTCCTCAAACTGCATCCACCGACTCGACCTCTTGATCCTTCCATTTTTAAACCTGCAAGAGGATTATATATTCATATGCACATATGGTTAAAGCAAGCTACTGATGAATACATTAAACCAGTCAAGGTGGCCGTCAGAGAGTTAATGATCAAAATCGTTGTAAACCAGAGTTAGCCCAGTCATAAATAAATAAAGCATTTCATTTAACTAGACAGTATATCAGTTCAACCGTTCAACAGATGGGATAGATCTGGATTTCAATACTATGGGTTAAGTAAGAACAGTATCAATATCAAACATTTCTGTATTGTGTGTGAGAGTGCGCGCGTATTTATAAATGTGAACGAAGAATAAATAAGCGAACTTAATTCGCCAGTAAAGTATCAAATTAAATTCAGGCATTTCATGCATTTAGTTTCAGATTCTTCTGATGTGAAAGAGAATCGGAGGTTTTAAGCAAGCTCTCCTGAAATCTGACAACTGATGATTTATTGAGAAAGGAACAAAGCAGTGAGAGAGGTAGAAGAAGCTGACAACTCTGAGAAAGCACTGAGGGCATGTTGTCGCTCTTGTTTGGAACCATGTTCTTGTGGGGTTTAGGTTTAGGGTTGCAATTCGGTTCTTGTAGCAGCGAACCGAGTGTTATACTCAGAAATGTGGGTAAATTACGCTTGAGTACCCATAGCTCATTACATTGCAAATTGTGTCCCTCCTAACGTAAAGACGTGTGATCATGCATGAGAGAGGCTACTAATGTAATGACCCCTATTATGTCCTAATTAATCTTCTAGTGATTTTTTCCTCTCTTTTTTTTTCCCATTGTAATATAAGATTGAAAAAATGACAATAAAATTTTATTGAAATATATAAATGACAATTAGATATCTCAAAAAGCAATAGTTCTTCTAAAATCCTTGGTTACCATTTTGACATTGATAATTTTAATTAAATAACTAAATTGCCTCTTGTTTAAAATAAAAATAATGGGTTTGGTTCTATTTTCTCAATCATAATTTTTATTTAAGAAATCACAACTTTATTATGTGAATTGCAAAAAATTGAATAAAAAAAAATCACTACTTTCCATGTAGAATTTCTTTTGTGATTGATATACAAATTCTAAAAATAATCAGTCTTAATTACAATTTTTATTTAAATAATTACAATTTTGATTTTGTGAATTATAAAAATTAAACAAGAAATTATCACTACTTCTCACATAATTTTTATTATTATTCAAGTTCAAGTCCTGAAAATAACAAGTTACAACAATTATTTAAGCAATCACAACTTTTATTTTATAAATAACAAGAATTTTACAAGATAGCACAACTTCTCACATGAACTAGTTAATCTTTTTTATTTTAAACAAGGGATAATTTAGTTGTTTAAACTAAAATCATTAATGGTAAAAAAGTATCCAAGGATTTTAAGGAAATTATAACATTTTAAAGAACTTGATTATCATTTATATATTTTGATGAGATTTTATAATCATTTTTCCTATAAGATTTTATATAAAATAAAAGATGTTTTTGACTTTTTTGGTCAACCAGATATTTTGATATTTTACATTTACAAATAATAAGGTTTTTCAATTTTTTTAATGTTTTTTAAAAGAAAAATACACTAGTAATTTTGTAACTTTATTTTTTTTGAAAAATTGTGCAAAAATACAAATTATATCGCTTTGTCATTTTAAGAAATAAAAATGTTTCTATTTTATGCAGAATCTAATGATAAAAAAAAAATGCGAAGAGCAACTAAGAGATTCAGCATTATAAAAAGAATAAGAAAGTGGTATTAGAGACTCCATGCCAGCTATGTGATATCTACTCCTCTGCTGTAGAAAAATCTCTTCGTAATTTTTCCTATTTACGAAACTCTCCCCTATTAACTCATGATTTCATCATTAATGTTCTATTTATCTAAATAAAAAAAAATATCATGTCATGAGTTTGAGAGTCATGAAACCATGTCACTATTCTTGTTTTCCTCAATCTATTGCTTGTTCGTAATAAATGTGTTCCTAAGATTACATGTACAACACATTATAGTTACTCTAATTATTAAGATGTAAAAATAAATAATTAACGTGCATGCACATATATAGAATATAGGGAGAATTTTAGTCAAGGACCATTATAGAGATTTAATTTCAGGTGGGTCTAAATTTTTTTTTGAAATTTTAGTTCAGTCCAAGAAATGAAAGTCAACTATAAAAAGATTAAAATACCTTTTACTTATTATGCAAAATTATTAATTATTAATTTTCTTATTACACTTATTAATTTATGAATATGAGTTGTAAATTATATGAGTTGACATATTAAAAATTATATAAGATTTAACATTAGTTGTTAAATTATTAAATTTAATTGTTAATTTACTAACATCAGTTGTAAATTATTGATAAGTTTTGTAATTTATTAACATCAATTATAAATTATTAATAGATCTTATAATTTACAACTGATATTAATAAATTAATAAATAAAGTTAGTAAATTAACAATTAATGTTATTCATTGTCTGATAAACAGATGTAATTTACAAGTGATATTAGTAAATTAAGAAGTGCGATGAGAAATTAACAATTCATAATTTTGCATAACACATGAAGGGTATTTTGATTTTTTTTTACCATCAAAATTCTTTTAATTTTTCTCTCTTGAATTGAACTAAAATTTTAAAATATTTTTAGACCCACCTGAAATTAAGTCTCTTCCCTTATTGTTAACTAAAATTCTCCCTATAATATATCCTATTGCATTGTACAATCACAAGCATACCAAAAAAAATCTAAATTGAAAATGTTCATTTGTTACATGTTTATTGTTTTCTTTACTCCGTGCAATATCCATTTATTATTGACTTTGCTTTGATTTTAAAAACACATTATTAATTTAAAAAAAAAAAGGTCGCACGTACTTGTATGCGTTAAAAGTTGTTAACAAATTGGAAATAAACAGTAAACATCACAAAAGATTAGTATTTTCCTCGATACACACATACCGTGATTTATGTTAAGATATTATAGTATTATATTTAATTTGATTGAGTAGTTCATATCAAAATTTTGAAGAAAATGGTCAATATAAGTGCAATTATAAATAACACTAAATAAAGTGAGATCTAATGTATGATAAATGTTATGATATATTTAATTCTTTAATTTTTTACAATGTTTTATTTTAATCTTTTAGTTTTATAAAATATTTTTAATCCTTTAAACCTGATACTGTTAGTTTTATCTCAACAAATTTTTATATAAAATTTTTAAATATTGATAAAATATTTTTAAACATTGACATATTAAGTTTATTTTTTTTAAAATAATAATGATTGAAATAAAAAATAATTATTAAAACTAATAATATTAGGGTTAAAAGATTAAAAAGATACTTTATAAAATTAAATAATCAAATTGAAACTTTATATAAAGTTAAATGATTAAAAATATATATATAACAAAGTAAGATTCAATATGAAAAACCATAGAATCATTAACAAAGGGTTAATGAAATAATAGACCTTAAACTTTTACTTAAAAAGTGCTTTAGACTCTAAACTCTTAAAATATGTAAAATAAATTTTAAATTTTTAAATTTATAACAAACTAAACCCTATCGTCATATTTTTAAGATTAAAGGTAAAAAATATTCATGAAGTACATACAAAAAGTTATAAATAACTCTAAAATCAATTATAAATTATTTATATTTCTCAATTTCAAAATTTTTTTAGTTCATCGCCCTGCAGTTTCATCCCACATGCGATTTTTTTAATATTTTTATTATAAAATATTTAAAATGGGGCTCACATTTATTTTTTTAAATATTTTTCCTCCCTCCCTCCTCTCCCTCCCCTGCAACTCGCCTCTTCTTCTTTATCATTCTTCTCATCACCGCCACTCAACTTCGACGCCAAAACCATTGCCGACTTCCAGACCACATTCATCGTGCATGATCGCCACCGTGTTTGGAGCTAAGATTAGTGTCACTGCTGATGACATTTCCGCCGACACCTACCTTCAATCTTCCCCCTCCTCCGCCGCATCATCACCACACATGACTGGGCATTGGTGTAGGTGAAGCTTCACCTGCGTCCTCAATCTCATCTTGTTAACCAAAGTAAGATTTGATTTAAAAATGAAGAGAGAGAGAGAGAGAGAGGGAATGAAGGATGATGAAGGTCAAGATTAGTGTCACAGTTTTGAGCTCGGGACTTGACTGATGAGAGCAACATGCTCTAACCAGCAAACCCTTCCCATGCACTCAATTCCTTCGTCTCATCCGTCGCTCGTCCCAGCACACAAGCTTCCCGCCATCACTGCACCACGTGGGCATCTTCTCTAGGTGCCGTATAACCCCTCCTGATGCATCTTTGATTGTTTGGGTGCCTTAGATGCCCCATCTTAATATCGGTGCACTGAGAGAGGAGAAGGAGAGGGAGATGACGAGAGACCAAGTAGAGATGAGAGAGAGAGAGCGGAGTGAGGCGAGGAAAAATATAATAAAAAAAGATAAAGTGGGCCCACTTTTATATTTTTTTTAAAAAAATATTTCAATAAATTCACATGGCCCCACTAACGGATAATTAACGTCAAGGTATAGAGGAATTAAAATTCTGAAGTTGAGGATAAAATTGAACTATGATTGAGTTTAGAGTTAATTATAAAATATTTTTTACTTTTAATCTTATTTTTTAAATGTTATTACTGTTTATTATGGGTCTCAGTTAATTAGCATCATAGATCCTAAATTATTACATTAGTAGCGTACTGGGTTCTGAACTTTAAAATTTGAAGCAAATTACCTCTATCATTTATGTATAGAATGTTGACTATTATATAGAATAAATTAGTCTTAGCGTGATTTGTTGCGGTGAACGCATTGTTGGTTGTGATGAACGACCTATAATTTTTTTAAAATGATATTTTTTTCCTTTTTTGCAATGTTTCTCAAACGATTGGTATCTTATGCATTATATACTCTATAACTCTGATTTAATCTTATTTTGAATAATATCTTTTATTTAACGGT